GCTCCCTACATGGAGTACCTTACATTTGTCTATGTTAAATTTCATCTGCCAGGTGTCAGCCCAGTCACTAATTAAATTAAGATCCCGCTGTAGCTGCTGAACCGCTAGTTCAATATCTGCTACACCACCCACCTTGGTGTCATCTGCAAATTTCACCAGTTTACTGTATATATTGGTGTCTATATCATTTATGTAAATTAGTTACGGGGAGTAACTTAGTTACTACTCAAGTACAAATCATGAACAAATATATTAATTGCATGAAATGCATAAATCATTATGACCAATTAATGATGAACAAATATAGGCATCAGTATATAACTCTTAGTTACTGGTTAATTAATTCATCAAGTAAGAGTGTACAATTGCATTATTTGTATCCCCTCAAGTGTCAGAAAAAAATATTAAATAGTTCTCAAAGGTTTCTTTAACATAAATGATACCTACTGCCTTTTGAAACCAGAAAGTTTCTCTTCCTTAACTAATAAAAAGTGATGACAGAGTGTATTCTGAGTAAAAAGGTTCATTGAAAAAATGCCATTAAAACTTAAGATGGTCACTAAGCCTTAATTGCTGTTGTAACAGTAAGAATGTATGTTTAGAATTGGGTGCATTTCATTTTATATGGTGGCAAACAGTTTGGGGGGTTTGCATCACTGGCTGAGTTAGACTCGATGCTGAGCTGCTCAGACCTCCTGCTTACATCACCCTCCCGGATGCTGTGGGAGCAGGGAGAGAAATCTCCAGAGCTGTGAAGCTGCTCTCGGGGAAAATGAGGGTTTTTTGGAGTGGTGACCAGACAGCACTGCTTCCTTACCACCCTGCTCCTGTGAGTGCGGAACCTCTCTAGCCTCAGTCTCCAGCTTATCCTTCTTGCCAGTCCTGTGAGTTTCTCTTTGCTTTGACTCGATTTGTTCCAGCTTTTTATTTTACTGTGATGACTTTTGAATCATACATTGCTGTGACATCCTTGAAAAAGTTATAGATTTTAATTTTTTTTTTTTAACAAGACACCCTCCTCCACCTTAGTTCCCCTGAAAATAAGATTGTGCCACCCAAAGCAAAGATCAAACAAAGTATTTCAGAGCAACTGTCACCATGTGTGGCTTCAGGGCATTGATGGTAGGCGAACAGACCTACACCATCTGCTGATGTTCCTGTCAAAGTCTTTCTGCTGTGACACTTCATGATGCCATTTCATTCCCGAGTCTGTTTTTTCATATTTCTTTAGTTGCTTAGATGACGCTAAACTGCAATTTTTATCTATTTTAAGGAGGGGGACATTGTGGTTGAATTACTGTTATGTTCCTTCGTTCTAAAGAAGGGCCCCTCACTGGATTTGGACCAGCAACTTTTGGGCTGCAAATTCGCGCCTCTGAACAGTACAGCACTTAAAAGAACACCCTCTGGGATGTACAGACATTTGCTGAGACAGTCTTCAATATAGCTCAATTTCTAAAGCAAAAAGTCAGCTCTCCAGTCATACCCACAGATGCTTCTATCACTATCTCTGGCTGAGGGGCCCATTCTGCTTCAACTCTGTGGCTCTGCTTTACCGCGGTAACACTTTTTATTATGTCGAACATCAAGGTTATTATTGAATATAATTTATTCATTGACAGCATGTCAAAATTGCATAATATACTGTAGCTGGATTAAGTCAGACATACTAAGGGTCCTGATGGGTGCGCTTCACTCAACTAGCCATCTAATCCCTGCACACCGAAACTTCCGGAGGAATTTTGGAAGCAGCAGCTTCCTCAAAACTGCTACAAGAGTCATTCAATGCAGAGACAACAGAGAATGAAAATGGTGAAAATTAGGTTTGCTTTCATAGTTGTATCTTTACTTTTACCTGCTGTATTTGTGTCAGCCAGGATTTTTTTTAACTGGCTAGAAAATGTCAGTCGTCAAATTCTGTCTTCGTGGAGAACTTACTTGCCTCTATTATCTCAAAACACAAACCTTGTTATTTTTAGACGGGCTGTTGCCTGCACCCATGGCAACATAGCCTGCAAGTGCTGAGCTGCATTCCCCGTTAGAGAACAGCTTAGTGCTGAGCCTGGCAAGTGAAGCCATTTTATGGTATGCTGACTGCTGCTTAATGCTTTTTTTCATATCTTTAAATTGGGAAGGTCGTTTATTATTATTTCTTAGCCAGCTGTAATTCCTCATAAATGTATCTTCTACTGTAGAAATTCAGGTTAAGTATTTTGCTCATGGGCAGAATGGCCCCTTTTGGGATTTGAACCAGCAACCTTTTTCCTGCAAACCCAGTCCATAATCACATGTCGGGAGCTGGATTTTTACATAATTAAAGTGGGGTGGCTTATTTCTATGCTTCCGTGAGAGTTGCTGGGAATCAAGAGGACGGGCACAATGTCAGGGAACTTCCCAAGGAATCACTAGTGCAGTGGGGAGTAGGAATCTCTTTCCTGGGTTTACAGGAAGTGGGCAAGGATGGAATGAGCGCATGATGGAAAAGCCAGGAAAGGGGAGTTTGTTGGTGAGAAAAAATAAACTCTGGCATGGCAACATGACTTAATTCAGGACAGCCGCTACGGGGCTGGTCGAGGTTATTGGGTTTCAGAAAATAAAATTGCAACTGATTAATGTGCTTGCTGAGCGAGGGACAGGCTGAATGGACATGAAGACCCTGGAGAGCAGGATACCCTTCCTGAGATGGTCACATCCCCCCCATGTCAGAGCTGGCACCTGCATGTGTTGCAGCCCCTGCTCCCAAATATGTGGTAACCTGCCCCTGCCAGCCTCTTTCTCACCAGATGGGGGCAGTGAGCCGATGGCTACTCGCATGGAGAACAGAGTGTCCGGTAGGCTTGCACACCTCCTCATCTGACAGATCACCTCTCCTCAAGGAGTTTAATTATGTATGAGGCACTAGCGGCGCTAACGAGGAAATGAGAGGGAGTGTCGAGGGAGAGGGGGAGGAGGGAGAGGAGCAGATCCCAGGAAGGAGTGAGACGAGGGCAAGGAGAGAAATGGTGTGAAGCGAAATTACATTTCCTGACAGCCCTGTAAATTGGGCTTGGTCTTGCTTGGATTTTCTCAGTCATTGCAGGATAAGTGCTGTGAGGTTCAATGCCTGACTGTCCGACCCGACAGGGGTTACAGTGTTTATCACTAGCAGCATCTGAGACAGTCTGAGGCATCAAAGCAAAAAAAAATCTTCATATGACGCACTAATACGAAGGGAGGGCTGCACATTAAAGGCAGCAGTCTGGGCATGGTCAAGGTGATTTTATTAAAGCCCAGCAATGACACCGGTATGTTATAGTCACATCCATCCATCTTCCAGAACTGGTTATACTGTACAGTATCACTGAGAATGCATCTTGTATTAATTCTACAACCATCAGTAATTATATACAGGTAAACTAATAATTATATACTTCTTTAATCTTAAATTTATAGAAATTATTTCTTTAGAATTTTTACTAATAATAGAACATTTAGTTGTGCTTTTAATGGATTAGTCTGTGTTGGTTCACACATATATGCTTCACCAAACGTGCTGTTCAGAAAGCACCATGTGTCAAGCAGAGACAAGCACAAAGTTGTCTGTATGGTTTGGGTATTCCTTGTGTGCCTGAGCAAAGTCTCTTGGTCCTCTTCTCTTTCCATTTCCCTTCTCTCCTGGGCTGGGGACCGCAATTAAGCATGAATGGTCTTTGATGTTGTCCCCTTGGCAACAGTCACCATGACAAGGCTGGAATCTTTAAAAAAAAAAAAAAAAAAAAAGCAGACTCAGGTTGACATGCAGTTTATGCACTGTACACGCACTGCTTCACATTAAGCGGGTAAAACGAACTGGCCCTGTATTAGGTAGTACTTTCCTTGGCTTAGCATCACAGTGCCAATATAGCATTCATGTCACGAACACACAAGCCCCCACTACAAATATTAACTCTGCAAATCGATTCTGCAAGCAGGCGCAACGATATGTAATCATATTAAACATCCTCCAAGACACATTCAGTGTGAAAAAAACTGTTACCCTTACAGTTCAGCAATGAGAGAATAGTTACTATAAGACAGAGATTGTGATGAAAACATTCTGTCTATTCAACAGTTCAAAATAATTGTCATTTACTAATGTTTAGAGCAGTGGTAAAGGTTGAGCTAAAAATATAGATGACTATGTTTAACCCATTCTGCCATTATGGTAATGGGACCCGTGAGGAGCCTCATTCCTGTAGCATCACTGAACCCTCTCACCCCCTCAGCTATTCCTCATTGACAACGGAGCGGACGACTGGCGGATCGCCATGACAACAGAGCGGGTGCTGCTGATCGCCCTGGAGCTGCTGGTGTCGGCGGTGCACCCTGTGCCGGGTGACTTCACCTTCCACTGGCAGGCGCGACTGGCCTTCTCGTACACGCCATCTCTGGCCAAGGCCGACGTGGACATGGTGCTGTCGGTGCCCATGTTCCTGCGGCTCTACCTCATCGCCCGTGTCATGCTGCTGCACAGCAAGCTCTTCACCGACGCCTCATCCCGCAGTATCGGGGCCCTCAACAAGGTCAGCTACAGGGGGGGCCAGATGGCTTTCAAACTTTTTTGTTCACTGCTGGAGATGATGCTGCATGTCCCTAGATAGTATGATTTACTGAAAGGAAGGTCCTGTACTGTGTGATGTTGAATGTCATTATAGAAGGGCTCTAAGCTGTACCTAAGACTCAACAAAGAACAGTGCCATTCTCTGTGCTGCTAGGTGCACTTTAACACGCGCTTTGTGATGAAGACCCTAATGACCATCTGTCCCGGCACCGTTCTGCTGGTCTTCAGCATCTCCTTGTGGATTATTGCAGCCTGGACAGTGCGCGTCTGTGAAAGGTGAGCAAAGTGCAGCTCCTGCTGTCAGGGAACAGAGAAAGTTCCACACATAGGTGTAAGTGGAATGTAACACATTACTGTGAAAAACATAAAGCTGGGGAACATAGAACTAAGAGCAGGGGAATGCAGATTATGGGGATGTGGACCAGGACAGAAAACTACAGGACATAAAGTGCAAGCAGGGTGATGCGAAGCTGGGAAACACAATGCAGAATATAAACCAGGAGAATGTAAGGCCACAGAACGCAGAGCAAAAATGAAGGAGGACCCCCGAGCTGGGGAACCGAGAGCACATTGGTGCTGATGCTGAATGTGAAACTGAAAGGGGAACTACAGAGACTGTAAGTTCCGGCAAAGTTGAAGGACGTGAAACCAGCTGGGGTGTGTTGCCCCATGCCTTTCTGTCCTGTGCCTTTAAGTCTGTTCAGAACTCTCTTAGCGTGTAGTGCTTGTTAATTCTACATACTGTAACAGAGGGTGGCTTCACCATGCTTTGTAGAAATTATTGGATGCTTAGGGTTATAACGGAATGTTTATGAGTGCCTTAGTCAAATTTCCCCAGAGTCTTCTAAGAATAGATATGAAGGTGTTAAGTCTCACTATTGTTTGAAAGCAGAGACTGCTGAGTTTTTCCCCTATACTAACCACTTAAAGGTGTTCTGAACACTTACTTTGTATGAGTTTGAATTGAGCATTACAAATTTACTAGTGTAGAGTGTTCTGTAATGTTAATCAATGCGGATGGTGCAACACAAATCAGAACTTTTAGAAAAGTGGTACATTATTTAGTGATCAGTGTTTTCTGGTTATATCATGTTCAGGTGTCATCCTGCATGCCATTACATCTGTTATTTTTCATATAGCACCATCTGCATTTTTTAATTAACTTTTTAAAATTGGCATGTTAGAGCAAGGCAACATTAGAGATACACCACATTTCAGTGTCAGCAGTGCTCAGTACGTAATAGTCGTACAATTAAGTGAAGAGAAGAGCCTTCAGAAAACTGAGCAATGTATCAGCCACTGAGTCTTAACTGGTTGTGGACAAGCCCTCACTGGCCAAAGAGCGGCCTAGCAGGTAGATCTTTGTGTTAATGAACATGAGTAATTTGCATGTCCTTACAACCAGATGCTTATAGCAACACGAAAGGTGCCGTTTGCTCCACATCATTCTCCCATCTGTCAAAAATTGCTCTGTATTTCTGAAGCAGCCAAGTATGAATTATTCTGTGGGCACTCTGCAGCAATAAAATACACATAAATTCCTGTGATTTTTCTCCAGTGTTCATGCTGAGGAGTATAGGGCTGCAACAACTAATCGATTTAATCGATTAAAATCGATTATTAAAATAGTTGCCAACTAATTTAATAATCGATTAGTTGGGTCTACGTTATTATACACATAAGTACAGTGGCAACCTCCTAATTTGGGAGCAGTAAGCTAACCAAAGCCGCGGTGGCAGTAAAGTACCATTAAGCTGGATGCCGACCGCCATAAAAGAAAAAAGTAAATGCACATAAACGCCATTTACGCACCTTTTAAATTTACAAAACAGCTTTTACTCACCTTTTTTAAGATCACTAATGTTAATGATATAGTTACCCACCGTTTTTACTGCTGTGCATATAGTTTACCCACCTTAAATTTCTTGTTACCACTACACCACTGCTTCATTTCTTCACGATAGAAATTTATAGTAATATCAAATGTTGTAGTACTCAAGACCAGTTTTTGAAGGTCTCGATCTTGTCTTTGAATCAGCCGTATTTGTACTCGTTCTTGTCATGGACTCGGGATTTTTTATTTCGAGACCATAACTCTGAGAATATTCTTATTAATGAGCCGTTTACTGTCGGATTGGATAACTAATAACTGCAACCAATGGCGTTACTGCTGGCCGCGTTACCCGCCCAGTCCCTTCACACACGCACATGTGTTTAAATGAACGCAGGGGAAGTCGTGGTTGTCAACACAATCAGCTATTATGGGGATAGAAATGCGGCTACATATACCACAACGTGTTTACCCTACCATTCTATTAGGTGGGCGCCCCAAGTTAATTTTATTTAATTTCATTTTCTATATAGCTCCAGATCGCAACAGAAGTCATTTAAGGCTACCTTTCCGATAGAACAGGTTTATATCTTGTCCTTTTATTAAACAAACTAAATAGCCTTATGTTATTTGTCTTATTTACAGTTCATCACTGTAGTAGGCTATGCTGAAACAACCGGACACGTTTTAAAACAAAATTTGCCGCCTGCCTTTCACGGGTTTTTCGTCACCAATCGTCTTATTTGCGTTGCTCAGTAATTTTTAGCGTAAGATGCGGAAAAGGCTTTTTCTTCGCAATAAATGTTTACTTTATTTGTCCGTAATAAATGCAGACAGACTCGCTGGCGTGCTCTCTCCCCCTGTCATATATGTGTATCAACATTAAATAACATTAGACAATTATTTAATAATATTCTTAGTAGCAGCAGCGGTAGTCTGTGGTTTTACATTAAAAAACTGGAGTACTGAATACATTATCTAAAGCACCATGCTGGTTGCACTTTATAAAACAAGATTTTGTGTATTTCATTACGTTGATTCAGCTGCTACAAATTATTATTTTTTTTTGTATACTCTTAATGTAGCATACATTTGTTTTTTATGTGAGTTGCTGGAAACAACTTTTGTACAAAGACAGACTGGGTTATTAAAAATAGCTGGAAATCAAATTGTTTCTTGCCCCCCCCCCCCATCTGATTAATCGATTAATCGAAAAAGTAATCGACAGATGAATCGATTATCAAAATAATCGTTAGTTGCAGCCCTAGAGGAGTATTCATTTAATATTATGTCTGTTGAATTGAATTTCCTGGAATTTGTCTATAACACATTTTTGTCATCTATCTCTCAAATAAGCCATAAATAAATCTATGCTGTCAGGGAAATACAAATGTGAAGAGGGAGTTATTCAAGTGTGAAGTTTATAAATCGTGATATTGATTTTTCTTGTTGGGAATACTGCATTTCTCCTGGAATCAAAGTAAATCAAAATAACTGTGCTCACTCACATTTTTATTACTTGAAGTAACACTACTGTACTGTACACCCAAAAAGACAAACATAGGGTCTGGTTACTGGTGGTGTTCTCCTTGTTTTTTATGTGTTGTGTCAATATATTGGCCAGAAAAATTGCTAGTAACTCTCCCCATTCACCGAATAAATATTTGTACTTTATATATTATTAACATTTTTTTAAAACTAGTGCATACAAATAAAAAGAAATGTATGCCAAATCATTGGTTAGGCTGCAAACAGTAGAAATATACAGTGGTACCTCGGTTCTCGAACTTAATCCGTTCCGGACTCCGGATCGAATCCTAAAAAGTTCTGATGGAATTTTTCCCATAAGAAATAATGGAAAACCAATTAATTGGTTCCCGGCCCCCAAAATTACACCTAAATCTGTTTTTTTTTTTTTTTTTTTTTTTTAGCATTTAAACACAAAATGATCAGGATAAAACAAGAAGAGCATTTTTTTCTTAATGGCTTCCAAACGATAAAGATCTTACCCCAACATTACCCCTGTCCTACCCCGATCGTCTGCTCCTTCCGTGTGCCACGCCCCCTCGTTAACCTCGTGTGGGATCCCCATGTGATCAGCTGTTTCTGGTTGTTGTCATTAGTCCTCTGTATTAAGTTCGCGTTTCAGTTTGTTTCCCCAGTCCGGTCATTGGGTGCGTTCGACTTGCTTACAGCGCTGGCTTAAAGCAACGCATT